CTCTCTCTCTCTCTCTCTCTCTCTCTCTCTCTTCCTCTGTCTCTTTCTCTCTCTCTCTCTGGTGGATGGTCGCGGGTTAGAACAACAGTCGACAATACGGCTCAATAGACGATTACAAGTTTTACCAACACTTCACGTGGGCCAGCAGTCGCGCTCTCACGTGACGAAAACGTAAGGAGTATGTATGATAATGACAAAAACGTAAGGTGTATGTATGATAATGACAAAACCGTAAGGTGTATATGTATGATAACGACAACGTTGATCGCGCCTGTTCGTATGAAGTGACGTACGAGAGAGCACACGTAAGCGCACAAACAACGTGACGTCACGCGCCACCGTATAAAGCACACTACTGATGACGTAATATCACCCTACGACGCATCTACACGGGTCTCTGCACACGATGGCGTAACCGGCAGCGTTATTTAAACGGAACGATGACGTGTAACTATGACGTTACACATCGTATGACGTGTAACTATGACGTAATACCGACAAGACGCTGACGCAGCCGTAGGGGTGGCTACGGGCGACGCTGACGCAACCTGCATGGATTTAGAACGGAATCGAACTGCAGGTGATCGGAAGAGACAAGATCCGCTTGGCAGCAGATGATTGGGTTGCTGACTGTTCTAGAAGCGATCACGTGTTTTTTTCTAACATCGACAATCGACGAACAACAACGGTACGCTCTATCGTAAACACAAACTATACGGAGGGGTTTCGGGGACCGAGAAAGTGTAGATTGGGAGTGGAACGGGATGGTGGTGGAGATAGGGGGTCGCCCCACCTTCACCCACCGCACACAACAATATAGCTGCCATCGTTTCGGGCTTTCCGGTAACCTCCGCGACATCTGCCACGTTGATTGGCTCCTCGGCGACCACGTGACGTTACCGCAGCGCGTCTATAGCAACGGCGGTATCGGCGGGGTGCTCCGCTTGGACTGTTGACTCACACACACACGCACACACACCAACTAACGCACAGAACGGAAGATCTTGACAGATCAGAGTTTCTTATCAGAGTTCTGAATACAATGACCTCCGTGAAGATGACGTCGACGCGCTGCTCCGCTAGGAGGCGCCACTGTGCGGCTACTAGGGGGCGTTGCTACACGGCCGTCTTCTCGGCGACTGCGAGTGCTGCTGCGGGCGTCTGCGTCGGCGGCTCGAGCGGTCTCGTGAGAACGTGCAGCCGCTGCAAGAGCCACCACATATATATAATATATATATATACATACATACGATAGGCCACATATACATACATACAATAGGCCACATATACATACATACAATAGGCCACATATACATACATACAATAGGCCACATATACATACATACAATAGGCCACATAT